TTCACATTTCTACTAAACAGCTTCATCCAACTTATTTCTAAAATAGAAGCGAGTGCGGCTGTTTGTAACTTGAATGTGCGAGACTTCCAGAGTCATTTGCTTCCAGTTATTTTTCCAGTACAAAAACAGTCCGTTATGCTGCTTGATATTGCAAACTGGTATTTGTTATATCATTTCTATCATTTTATTTTATTGTAGTAATCATAAACACACTTGTTTGTAGCGCAAATACATTTACCGTTTACTGCACTTTCAGGTAACGGCTAATGAATCACATTCACAGAAAAACTGCCTACTTCCGCGTTCCAAAATAGGGTGTATACAATAACAAGCAGAAAACATACATTTTTGTTATAATATTAAACTACAAGTGACAAAAACTTTAGCATTTACACACACTATATAAAGAAAACTTCCTCTCAGACTGGCTCAGTAATCATGCAACAGGGCGCTTGGGTTCAGTTATTGCTCACGGGTCATGTGATGCTCCTCTGGAGATGCAGTTATTCCATCCTTTAATAGGTCATAACTGCAGGACTGAGCATTAATTACTCTTTTACTCCTGAGAGGTCTCTAGCCACGGGAATGCTGACATCATTTATGTGTTGTCAGTGAACTGTAATCATTGCCTGGTGTCCCCAGTGAAAATGTGCTCTAATGCACCTGGTATAAAGGTGTGTATTCCTCCCCATGGACTTTTACAATGTATATATTATTTTAAATGAACGCTAGGTAAATCATAAGTTGACTGTATATTATTAGTATTCATTGTATGTTAGAGTGAGTGTTATTTATATACCTCTTTCCTTTTATTTGGCATTGTCTTTTTCTTATAGTTTTCAGCTCTCAGTCAAGACAGCAGCATAATAATTGCAGGGACAGACCAAGTCCAGTCCTGCTCATGAAGGCCAGCTTTCTGCAGAGTTTTGCTGCAACCTGCCTGAAGGTTTCTAGTAATCATGAAGACCTTTATTAGATGGTTCAGATGTGTTTAATTGGGGTTGGAGCTAAACTCTGCAGGAAGGTGGCTCTCCAGGAGCAGGATCGGTTGTCTTAGAGCAACCTGCCTTGCTTGAGGGCACATTGGGAATGATACAAGAGGATGTCAGAAGTGCTCTGTTTTCTCAATCTGTGTCACTTGGGATTGAACCTTCAAACTCTAAATGGCAGCCCAAGACCCTTGACCACTCAACCCCCATCTCCATGTTTCAGGTAATGTATCACATTCGGTCACATAAATTGTTGTTTCGTATTGAAATATTGAAAATGATTATTAGTTGTTCGTATGAATTGTAAGATATAAGTTGCATGTTTGTGTCTGAAAGCTTGTGTAAATTTGAGCGCAGTGGTAAACAGTCATGGGGTCATGCGTGTGTTGATAATGTGTTGGTGCCGGGGTTACTGCTTCTTTCAAAAATCATTTTCCCATCCATGTTCACCTCATACCCAATGTACCATGGCCAAAATTGCTGTAAAAATAGTGGACGGTTCTCGCTAATTCAGAGTTGGGTCAACATTTTCCCCCCACAATCCTAAATATAGGGCATTATTTCTACTCTGTCATAGTAGATTTTTTTTTTTTTTTACTTTTTTTAAAAACATTTAAATATAAATGAGTACATTTTGGTACTTTCACTAATAAATCACATAGGGTATAATTGAGAACATTTCATTGAAAGTCAATATTTTTGTACTTTTTGCCAAGAAAAAAACAAAAACAGGTCACTGTGATGGAGCTGAAATATTAAGCTTGATAAGGCAAATGTAAGTGTAAAGACATGCTGTAAGCAAAACATAATGTGTTAGAACCATGTGATCAAAAACACTGTTAGGATGCCCTCACTTATGATGTCAGAAAGATTAAACCATTATTTTTAAGTGGGGAAATGAACAGAAAGTGAGGGATAAAGACAAAATATGCATTTTTAGAAAATGCATAAAGCATTTGATAAATAAAAAAAATTAATTAATTTAAATAAAACCAAAATGTATCTATTTTTTGTTCTTCTATATAGTCCATTAAAATGTAAATGTGATGAATGGCAACATACAAATCGGCTGATTTTCCAATGACTAATGAAACATTTTTAATAAAACTGTTATATTTTCAACTTTCTTTTGCATTACACCCTAAACAGAGTTAAATCTATCAAATTATGTGTGCCAGGTTTAGTGTCCTGAGTAGTAATGAATAGTAAGACACGAGAACATAAAGGGAACACAAATGGTGTTTCTAGAGAATGACCTGAACCAAGAAGGTTCAAATGGCACACCCTGGATTATTGTTTTGTTTTTTATTTATTTCCAGGACCTAAACGAGCTCATTGGCTCAAGGGGCAGCGGTGTTTCCGTGACTCAGCGGAAAAAAGGTGACATATCAAACTGATGTGAGGGCCAAGGAGGGGGAAACCCCTTAAAGAACCACCCCCCCCAAGCCAACTTTAGAGGGGTGTCCACCATTACCCTACATGAAGGGAATCCCAAACCTCTATGCAGCTTGACGTCAGAAGGCAGGATGCTGTTTTGCTGATTCATTTGCCTTGCTTATGATGAGCTCCACATTAAAACTCCACATAAACCTCTCACTCTCTCTCTCTATGTCATAATTTGGCCTTTATTCAGATTAACTGTTTTCTGTTAGTGGCATAAACAATGGGTTATTTATATTTTATATTAAAGGGGTCATATGATGCGATTTCAAGTTTTCCTTTCTCTTTGGAGTGTTACAAGCTGATTGTGCATAGATAAGATCCCTGAAGTTGCAAAGACTAAAGTCTCAAAACCAAAGAGATATTCTTTATCAAAGTTAAGACTCTGCCACGCCCCCCTAAAACGGCTCGTTCTAACACGCCCCCACATATCTACCTCACTATGTGGAAATATTTGCATAATGCCACCCAAATGTTCACGCAAAGAAAGAAGGCTGGTTTCAGTAACCGCAGTTAGTGTTGAAGCAGCCATGTCAGGGAGACGCTGTGTGTTTCTAGGCGAAAGCAAAAGCACTTTATTTGGCCTTCCGAAAGTAGATGCATTTAGGAATCTTTAAGATTACTTACAACAGAACAGCAATGCATTTTATGGACGACCGTTTCGTGAACCTAGGAGAGGAGGTAATTCTGACTTTGCTATGACAATCTGGCGCTTCTGAATCAGCTACTGTTTTGTTATTAGTTTAAGTATTTGCTATTGACTGTTCAAATGCGTGTGAGAGAGAGAGAGCGCGAGAGAGAGGGAGAGAGAGCGCGAGAGAGCAAGATAGAGAGAGACAGGGTCACATCACAATGGAGTCAGCTGTCTTAACCGTGGGCAGATACCTTTTTACCTAAGGAACTAGCCTTAATGCACAATTCACATGAACCAATGCCTTTTGAACCTGTTTATTAAGTATACAGAATTAACTAGCACAGGTAACTGTACTTTGCTTGTTATACTCTCTCTCCCTCTCTTACTATGTTCTGTCTTGTTACCGGGTCGAGGGTGACTGTTTTTGGGAGTGGTGTTAGGGTTGGGGTATTCCTGCTGTAAGGTGGCCCCATGGATAAGGCTATTTCTCTACACATGCTGTTGCTTTTCGAGTTGCCATGCACTACGTGACTTTACGTCTTTCTCTCTTTTTCCATTACCCCTCCATCTCCACCCATGTTTTTTTTAATCGGTCCGAGGTCAGTCTTGAGTTGGGCACTCAAAGTGTAGCACCAAACCCAGCACCGAGACCCGCCAGGACCACCTGGGCTCAGGTAAGGGTGTGCTGTGCTCTGTTAAACAGCCAAATGAAGTGTTTATTAGAAGGTCTGAGTGGGTGCAAATGAAAACAGTAGGTTAAAATGAGAGAGTGGTCACTTGCGGACAGGGGGACACCTGCTAAAGGTACACTGCAAAAAAAGATTTTTCAAAGTAGTAATAAAACAAAGATTATTTGAGTCTGTTTTACAAGAAGATACTATTTCAGTTTTTCTGCTTCATGGTGTTACTTGCTGTTCCTTTGTAATTGTGAAATATACTAGCAATTTATAGAAACAATGAAAATTGTTTCTATACCAATTTATTTGAGTGTTTTTCATTGTTTTCAGTGTACAGTCTGGTGTATTTAGTTTATTGAAGTTGAACACTGGGACTATAATTCTGTCTATAGATTAACTTTCTTCAGTGTATTTGTTGTATATAGGCTTCGTAATTAACATATAGATGGTCATATTCTAATAAACAATTTTAGGAAACAGTAGTGTTCTCCATCCACTAGATTTATCATTGCTCAGTTTTTAGCACAAATCCCAAATCCCAACTATTGCGGAATTGAATGAACTTTAACACATTTAAAATAATTGTACATTTCATAGTAAACATTGATAAGATAATCATATTTTTGTTCAGTGAGGAAAACATTTGTGTTTACCATCTATTATTCTGTTGAAGTAGTAGAGAGAGTTTTGAAGCGCCAAGGCTTCACCAAACCCCTCTGATGTGCTCTATCTGCCTCTGTCCATGAGGGACAGAAGAGTCCTTATCACACGATAGAAGTTCAGTCTTCAGCTAATTGTCTGTTTGTGGCTCTTACACACCCTTGTGCTAGTTCAGGATGAGTCTCAGTTTTGAGCCTCTGAAAGACACGAAAACTGAGTTGTGATCTAAACCTCAGTGCTTGTAAACAGAGGCCTTGTTTTTTTTTTTACTTAAATGAAATAGTCAAAGACATACAGAACATCAAAAACTGTATATGTTTTCATAATTCATATTTATGTATGCTATTGCAAATATACTGTAAATATTTTATGAAATCATTTGAAGTAAAATTTACTTGGTAAAGCTCATACTAGTCAAACATAGAGTTTGTTGAAATTCATTTGTTATGTTGTAGTAACACTTTAATAAATGGGAGTAGATGAATGAATGATAACCACTGCCTGTAGCAGGTGTGCAGTTCTTACAGTCTGACTGTGTTATTTTGTTTCTTTGTGTGAATAAGGTTATGTGTGAGTCCTGACAGAGAGAAGACAGTCTCGATGGAAGCAGTATCGTTTGAAGTGGTGAGGAGAGCATCTCAAAGCACATGTAGTTGATGTACAATAGATCATCCATAGATTACATTTATATAAGTCATAAAGTGTACTAAACAGTCTCTCTCTCTCTCTCTCTCTCTTTCTCTGTAGGACAACGACATGTCCTATGAGGACAATGAGTCACCTCTACCATCTCCATTCACTTTGTGAGTAGGCCTTGGCTATCACACACTTAACACACATTGATAGAAAAATGCAAATAAAGTTGTATCTGCTTCACTGTATTTCTCAGCCACAGCTTAAGAATCCTGCCCTAGTCACGTTGTATCAATCAATCAATCAATATATATATATATATATGTATATATATATATATAAGAAGAAATATTTTACACAAAAGAAATTAAGCCTGTTTTAGGACCAGTAATGTTTGTAAAAAAATTTATGATGATTAATATCCCCAAACTGTCATTACCGGCACATCCAGACATTTTGATTATTATTTTATTAGGTTCTTATGGCCTTAATACTCTTTTATGTTTAAAGCAACTGTATGTAAATTTGTGTATTTTTGCAACTTTGATGCCCCCTAAGGGTAAGTGAGTGGAATTTACTGTCGTAAATATAGCACTGTCGTAATTACATTTGTTGCCGCCATAAGGTAATCTTTTCGCGGAATTTCGTGCCCGTTCACCAAACTTACAAACTCCCAGAACAGACATTTGTACGGTGGCCGAGAAGTGCAAGCAAATCACAATTCTGAAAACAAAATAACAAATTACAAACGCAAATGCAAGTCTAAAAAACAAAATAACAATTCAGAAAGCACAACAACAATTCAGAAAACATTATAACAAGTCAGAAAACACAATGACAAAAATTGCCCTTATTATGGAATAAAAATACGGAGTGTATATTTACATTTAGTTAAAAGTTAGCTATAACACATCAGCTCCAGTGGTGCAGATGGATAAGCGTGTGTCGTTGGCATTTGATGCGACCGACCCGGGTTCGATCTCGCCTTTTGCCGAACTTTTTTTTTCTCCCTTTTCAAATCTCGTATCACATTTGGGGGCAGAATGAGAAAGAAAAGTAATTCGCCTTGTTAGAAGTACCATCAGCATGATTTTGAAAACTGATATTTCAAGGTAGCAAAAAAAAAAAAAAAAACAAGAACAAGAAAGAAAAAAAGAAAGAAAAAAACATACCTTACAGTTGTTAGGTAACTGAGCATAAATTACATTGTACATAAAGTACAACACGATGTGTAAATACAATGCAATTTTAATGTTTTCACTTTACAATAATGAGAATACGTTTTTACAAATTATTAAGAATAATTGTCATGAAAATAACCATGCAATGCAATGCAATATTTAATTTTATTTTGGGGTTATGCAGACATGTTTGTTTTAATAAAATTGGATCTACTTTTTATTTAATTACCCGTCAGTTCTTATATTTATTGATTTATATAGTAATTTATTTTTGGGAGAAGCTAATCAGACAGTGCTGTCATCTGAAAATCTCTCAAATAAAATGTGCTATTTACTTAAATCTCTGATTATCATAAGTTATTATTTGATGGACTTTCATATGGAGTGTTGTGGGTATTGATGAATGTTCACAAGCCCAACTGTGCCCTCCTCTGTTTAAATAAATAAATAAAATAGTGAATTACTATTACAGTACTTACAGGACTTCAGACAGTAAAGTTGTAAAATGTCGCACCCTTGTGGCCGACCAGGGCAGTGTGAGGAGGGCTGGACAGAGTGAGGTTTATGTTTTTTGTATCAGGGATGGCTTGAGTCGGTTTGTAAGAGGATGGAGCTCAGTCTGCCCAATGCCCTATGGTGCATAAGATATGGTGAGTGTGTGGAGCTGTGACAGTCAGGTCTGTGCCCTGGTGTGTGTTGTAGTGTGTGCTCTCTGTCGCCCTCTTTAGGACGCCTGCGGGACACAAAGGCAGCTATGAGGAAGAGGAGCAGCATCAGACCTTCACCTTCTCTAGAGACGTAGAGGGTGTGTTTGCCATACACATGCATATATACAAACATAAACCCTGCACCTTACTGATCCACTACTTATTTTTTCCATTTCCCTTCTTCAGCTGCCCGAAATACCAACACCAATGCCATCAAGAGAGGAGATGCAGAGGTGAAACACACAAACACATTAATTCACTGACTCTTATCTTTGACTTCTTTGTAAAAATCTTAATACAAATTCTCATCCACACTAGGCATACGTTGAGCTAAATGAGCTTCGTGGGGATGTGTGGCAGGAAATGGGACGCTGGCTGGGTTATGAGGAGAACTTAAGCCCTGCCACAGGACAATGGAGTCAGTCCCACATTTCCTATCTCACCTTCAAAAGCCTCATTCAACTCCGCAAGGTCATGACCACAGGTGAGACACCAAGTGACACATTTCCTTTGGCCTTTAGACACTTCAAATAAAGTGTAGCGAGAACAGGAATTGCATGATTTTTGGTGCACGCATTAACAGAGGCCCATATCTCAACCAGAGCATGTTAATTCACTGACTGGATCAAGAAAAACACACCAAGCAAATCAAAGCTTCTTCCACAGTTGTTATAATGACATGACACTAACAGACATGATATCACAATAAGAGATTTTTTTTACCCTCTATGGCAGCAGTTCTCAAACATTTTGACTCAACACTGTTCACAACAATATTTGAAGAACCCCCTGCCCAGTTTATTTTAATTTACAGAAATTAGGAGTGTTCATAGATTAAAATAAGTAACTTATAACAACTAGTTTATATGTATAAGCCCTAGTGGGCTCCAGAACACTTGGTTGAGAACCACTGCTCTGTGGTGACCAGTCAACATTCACATTAGTTCTACATGTTCTTTATGGTGACTGTAACCAGGTGCGGTGCTGCTAGATGTTGATGAGAGCAGCTTATCAAGCATTTGTCAGAAGATGGTGGAACAGCTTCTGCTCAAAAAAGAGATCCGGCCCACTGACCGTGACGCTCTTGTAGCTATACTGCAACACAAGCGCAGGTTAGGCTCCTTGTTATCTGTGTTGGTTTGTGTGTTTGTGTGCGTGTGGAGGACAGTTACTTCAGATTCTATTGCTGTATATTGTTGTCCTGACAACTGTTGTTTTTTGTTTGTTTGTTTTTGGTTGGTGTTTTTTTTGGGGGGGGGGTTTCAGAAATCCTCATTATTTGGTATGTGAGTCACAGGGGTCTATATTAATAGCTGAATATGACTATAAACTTTATATGACTCATATACGCAACACAATGCGTAAAAAGACCGTATAAGTCATTATAATCAGTAATTATGTCCCCACTGGATGCAACAAATGCCTCGTTTATAATAGGTTTTATTGGTTTTGTCTCGTTGTGCCGGGACACGTCATCACAGTATGGTAAGGGGTATAACATTTCTGTCACACGCTTGAGGTATTCGGCCAATCACAACGCACTGGATAGCTGGCCAATCAGAGCACACCTCGCTTTTCAGACCGATGAACTTTGTAAAAATCAACGCGTTTCAGAAAGGCGGGGCATAGAGGAGAAACAATAATGTAGATTATGTGGAAAAATAACGTTTTTTTAACCTTAAACCACATAAACACATTGCATTACACCAAATACACAAAATAATGTTCTTTTTAGCAACATCATATGACCCCTTTAACATCCATGGAACTTTTCCATTCCACAAAAGGTTCTTTATAGTGGAAAAAGGTTCTTTAGATTTTTAAAATGCTCTTCAAACTATGAAAAAATATTTGGTGTTTTAAGGACTGTTCACTGAAAGTTTCTTTAAGGAGCCCAAACCCCATTTTTGGTGGAGTATGCCTTTAACATATTTAACCTTCCATCCTTTTCTATGTTTCAGCTGACAAAACAGAGCACATGATGGGGGTCTCTGAGCTGATGGTCTCTACCTGCGTGCAGGGCATAATCTTTTGTCTGTTTGCAGCTCAACCGGTACTTATCATTGGGTTTACCGGTCCATTGATGGTGTTTGAGGAGGCATTCTTTCAGGTGATGCTTTTATTAGTGATAATTGTGATTTAATTAGGTAGATTATCACCACCTATATGACTTTTCTCATCCATCTAAATACATTCATCTTCCCATTCAGTTCTGCAAGTCAAGTGGCTTTGAGTACATCGTGGGCCGTGTCTGGGTGGGCATGTGGTTGATTGTCATTGTGGTGGTGATTGTGGCAGCGGAGGGGAGCTTCCTTGTCCGTTTCATCTCACGCTTCACCCAAGAGATCTTCTCCATCTTGATCTCTCTCATTTTCATCTATGAGACCTTTGCCAAGCTTATCAGGGTATATTCATTTTTCTAAATGGGCACACACTAAATTAGATTAATTCACATCATATAAATTGTCATGAAATCTTCATTTTTTGCTCTATGCTTTGTTCTCTTTCTTTATTCTCCTCAGATTTTCAAAGCGCATCCTTTGGTTTTGAACTACCAACACTTGAATGCTTCTTTGGAAGACCCTTTCCACCCTATCAAAAAGCTTATCAACATCACACAGAATCCTGATGGCAATATTACTGAACATCATGAGATAATAGAGAGGGCCTATCCCAACACTGCCCTGCTGTCCATGTGCCTTATGTTTGGCTGTTTCTTCATTGCATTGTATCTCCGTGGGTTTAAAACTAGCACCTTCCTTCCCGGCCCTGTAAGTTTGCTCAGTTTACCTTTTTTATTTAAAACTCTGATACTGTTTAGCCAAAAATAGGTTTAAAAGTTCAAATAATAATGGAAAACAAAAAGGCTTTTTAGCAATTATACCATCCAGCCAAGCCTTTAAATGTAAATCATGTTACTATTAAAATACTGTACATCTCCAGATCCGTCGAATGATTGGAGATTTTGGTGTCCCCATCGCCATCTTCTTCATGATTGCTGTGGATATCAGCATCAGCGATGCCTACACACAGGTTTGACAAACACTAATCTTTTAAGGTAGTTTGCTATTATAGGTTTTCTCAATTGCTTTGGCCCTAACATTCTCTAAATTGTAAATGCAACTGTCACAACTGTTTTATTAGATTTTGCATGTCTGCAAAAGGTAGTAACTCAAAATATTTAATTCATGCTTCAAAAAGCAATGGCTCCAATTTTTTATTTTTTTTCATTGTGTCATTGAGTGAGCTGTACTGGTCAAAATATGTTGATGTTTTTACCATGGCGGTCAACCTCGGAAATGTTTGTTATATACAAATTTGATTTTTGTTCTAATTTTTTGTTGACACAGTAGGTAAATGTTTACTGGGAAAATCCAATACTGTAGTACACAGAAAAAGAATATGCACATTTGTATGTATACAGCGCATTTTTTTTATATTGCATCTAAATAGAGGGTACGTATTTGCATGTCCATTTGTACACAATTCTTATATCTGAAGTCAAGTACAGCAGTAAAAAAAAAAAATCTCTTTACAGAATGTAACACTACAAGTTGCATGAACTGGTGTGTAGGGCTGTGATGTTCCTACATGTTCAAAAATGGTTGTGATTGTGCTATGTATGACCGTTTCACTGAGAATCAACTCATCAGTTTTGCTCAGCAAGCTATGTGCATTTAGTTATTTGCAAATTGTAGACAGCTGTACTTTCTCTTTTGCACACAACTGCCAAAACTCAATAGAATTTGCTTAAACTAATAAAAATTCAAATCTGGTGTGAACAAGAAATTAATTGTTGAAAGATTTGAACTTATCGCTTTGAGAGAAAAAAAAAATCTTATTAGAGAATTTACCCAGCGTGACAAACTCCCTAGTGAAATAAGCTAATGAAGATAAACATGTTTCATGCATCTGGACCCATAGCATTAATGGATTCAAATAATCTGGGGTTTTGAACATTAGAATGGATAGTTTCATTCATGTGTCTCATGGTAAATGTGTTTTTTAACTTCCTGCTTTAGAAACTGGTGGTGCCAAAGGGGCTGACCGTGTCCAATACATCTGCTAGAGGCTGGATCATCAGCCCATTTGGTGAGAAGAAGCCATTCCCTGTCTGGATGATGTTTGCCTGTGCTATTCCTGCCTTGTTGGTCTTCATCCTTATTTTCCTTGAGTCCCAGATCACTACGTGAGTGTGATATTCAGAATAGAGCACATTTAAATTCACACTGGGTGAAGACACATATGCTAGAAGATCTTCACTATAAAGTCTATTATGCTCACCAACATTAATGTAATCAAAAATACAGTAAAAACAGGAATACTGTAAAATATTACTATAATTTATGATAAAATGAAGATTCATGCAAGGATTTTGGAAGTCAAAATTTTGGTGTAGCTACTGCCTTAACCTCACACCTTTTCCTTACCATCCAGGCTGATCGTGAGTAAGCCTGAGAGAAAAATGGTCAAGGGCTCTGGTTTCCATCTGGACCTACTCCTTTTGGTGTTCTTGGGAGGAGCTGCCTCTATCTTTGGTGCCCCCTGGCTCAGTGCTGCTACAGTGAGATCTGTCACACATGCCAACGCCCTGACTGTCATGACCAAAGGCCCCAGACCTCAGATTGAACGTGTGATAGAACAAAGAGTCAGTGGTATTTTGGTGGCCGTGATGGCTGGTGAGTTCCAAGCCTTTTATCTGATATAATGATGCTTAATAAACACAATTAGATTTTAATTGCCATTAAAAAAATAAAATCAACATAATTATACTTAACAAAATGATATTGACAATACACAGAATAATTAAAAATGATTTACCCACAGGGGTCTCAATTCTCATGGAGCCCATCCTGAAGATGATACCTATGACAGCTCTGTTTGGGATCTTTCTCTATATGGGTATCACTTCACTGAGTGGCATCCAGCTTTGGGACCGTATGCTTCTGCTTATTACACCGAAAAAGCATCACCCACCTGTTCCATTTGTCACCCGGGTAAGATTTAATTACAGACACACATATACGCTATATGGACAAAAGTGTCTCCAGCCACCTTCTCGAATGTCCAGCCCATTCTGTGAGTCCTATGAGCTTCCTTACATGTTAAAGCTGGGCCTGCTTTTCTGAAAATTAGCAGCTTTTCACCAGTGATTCCCAACCAGGGGTACTTTAAGAGGACTTTTTTATTATTTTTATTTATTTATTTATTTTTTCAGAAAATGTAGAAAAACAGAAATTTTCAACTTAAAATGTAGTGTTGTCACTAGGTTCAAATAATCCCATTATTATTATTAATAATATATATATATATACACTGGCCTAGGTATTGTTTCCGGAAGCAGGAGGGCTCGGTGCGGGACTGACTAGCAATCCAATGAAACGCGCACGTCAGCGCACTGATGTTTAACGAATCAGCGCGCTCATTGGAAAAATCATGTTTTCTCCAAATCAAAACGTCTTGATTGGACATCGCAGGTGACGCCCACAAACAGACAAGGTGGGGTTTAATTATTTAACGTGACAAAAAGATGTAGCTGTCAGACTGAAAATACCGAAAAGATGTTTAAAGTACAAAACAGTCCACTCTTTACATCATGCATGCACTTTGGGAGCTCATTTGACTAAATTCAAGAAAACTGCTTTTCTTTTTTCTTAAAAAAACAAATCAAAACGTAAATCACTCTGGGACATATTCAGTCAAATTCACTTCTTTTATTAAAACTTCACGTGATCATCACGAGAGTAGACAAATGCGTTCAAAACAAGCCCGAGAGGCTACATGCGGGTGCAGGATTGAGGGCGCCTCGGCAGCAAGTTTATATCCAAATGGAAGCGAAGCCCAGGCGACCCATCCGTGATGAGAGCCGCGAGCAGGGGAGAGATTGAAAACGCGGATGTCTCTTTGGAAAGAGAAATGAGCGGATCGAGAGAGCTGCGCGCTGACTGGAAGGAGATGGTAAGATTTTTAATGGTTTTGAAAGAAGTCTCCTATACTTAACAAGGTTGCATTTATTTGATCAATAAACATTAAAAACTGTTCTTGTGAAATAATATTACAATTCAAAATCACTGTTTTTAATTTAATATATTTTTTAAAATATCATTTATTTCTGTGAAGACATTTTCAGCCATTTATCACATGAGAAATCAGAAATCATTCTAATATGCTGATTTGACGCTCAATAAATATTTCTTATTATTATCAATGTTGAAAACAGTTGTGCCCACCAGTTCCACACACAAGCAGCGACAGGTAAGATCTAACCAGCGCCTCATCCTACCAACCGTTGGGTAAACAAACCTTGAAGAAAAAAAACAAAACAAGAATCTTAGGATGCAACGAAAAAATTCTAAACATTCCGAGTTTAGATCGTTCGTGGATTTTGTTTTTGTAAAGCCGCCTCGTTGAAATTCGCGTTGACTTGGTGCATGGCACGGTACATTCCGAGGTCGCCTTACCCGAATTTCCCGTCCAGTGACTCGGGGGAAAAACATCCTCCGAAAAACCATCATTATTTGATGCATAGAAAGTTCAAAAGAACATTTGAAATAGAATTTGTAACTTTTAATTTTTCATTAAAATGAACGTTTAAATAAGTTTTGGTCAGTTTAATGCATCTGCTGAATTTCTTTTTTTTTTTAAGAACTGTTGAATGGTATTGCAAGTTTTGTAAATTTGAGAGTCACATGACCTGTGGATGGCATTTTATAATTGACTACAATTACCAAACATCCCATCAGGACTTCATGTATAAATACATTTCCTTAAAATAGATGAAAAAAGTTGTTTTATTGAAGGGAGATACTGTCACAGTATATGCTGTTTACAGGTGAATCATTTAAGTAGGTTATTGATAGTGCTAAATGATTTCAAATATATATATATATATATATATATATATATATGCGGCGCAGTGCTGGCTAACATTCAACCCTCCCCTTGTTCCACCACCAGTTCCACACACAAGCAGCGACAGGTAAGATCTAACCAGCGCCTCATCCTACCAACCGTTGGGTAAACAAACCTTGAAGAAAAAAAACAAAACAAGAATCTTAGGATGCAACGAAAAAATTCTAAACATTCCGAGTTTAGATCGTTCGTGGATTTTGTTTTTGTAAAGCCGCCTCGTTGAAATTCGCGTTGACTTGGTGCAAGGCACGGTACATTCCGAGGTCGCCTTACCCGAATTTCCCGTCCAGTGACTCGGGGGAAAAACATCCTCCGTTATCTACCACAACCTTCGTTTAATTCCCGAATATAACTCCAGAAGCCGCTAACCTTGTTTTTTAAGCGCGATAAGGGCACCTTTGTCGTGTTTGGAGCCCGCGCGGTCGTCTTCATTTCCGAGTCAGGACTCAATGAGGCTTGTGGAGGAAGAAGCAGCCGCCTCTGGTTCGCCATCAGGGAGCTCGGTTATCTCACCGTGTGGGCTCGTTTTCGCTTGCGCCTGCCGTGAAAGCAAAGTTCGCGATCACATTTGACAGTTTTTCGGTTATCTGTGTTTGGGGAGCAAGCAGGGTGAGTTTTGAAGCGTTTGCGCTGTTTTTCCTCTCGGTGGAGGTGAATTAGGCTTGCAGCGCGTATGGAGGGTAGTATGGCGGCTCTAGAACAGTCGACACGCCACTGAGGCGTCCGTTCTCTCGGCTGTTGCGTTTTTCCATTGTGACTTGGGAACTAAAATGACACGTTTATACACCAGATTGATTCCTTTCTACATGAGTGGATGTCGCTTGTCATAACTGTGCTTCAGTCACCGCGTGTTCAGTGAAATTAACCGTATATTTCTTTCATTTTTGTTTTTCAAGCCTTTGAAGACCCTGCTGCCATACGGGCTGCTCACGCCGTGCTTTCACCCCGCATTCCTTGTCACTCGAAAGTCGGGGTAAACAACCAGATTTCTTCACAGTAAGAGGGCATTTTGGACGCCGGCTACAAGTTCTTTTTAACAGCCGATAATGAGGCTTGATTTTAGCCGCATTTTAGGATTATTTTTGACGACTGTTGGTTCAGATTTCACCAGGGCTTTAGGGGGATTCAGTGCTAGTTACAGCCGGATAGCTCCGGTGTAGGTCGGTTTAACACGGTAACATTTTATTTCAATAAACTTATTTTTTAGATATTTCTAAGCTATCATTTGTAGCTCTTAACACGTGTGGACACAATGTTGTTGAGTTTATAATTAAGCTGGGTAACTTAAATCAGAAAACTGTTTTAAACGTTAAACAGCACCAATTATGTAATTTAATGAGGTTTTGATATGGAAAACGTTAAGCTTAAACAATGGTTTAATAGACCCTTATAAATACTTAAACACTTTGACGTGTTTTGGTCTAAATTTAGAGCCCCGTTACAAAGCTTTTGTTCATAAATGCGATTAAAATCCACAAGAGTTTTTTCTGAGCATTTCTATCGTAGTAACGCTCTATTCTGCCCAAACGGGGTCTGATTATCATGCCATCCACTTTTTTTTTGAAACATTTCATGGTGGTGAAAATGCCCTTCAGCCGGGCTCTATTTTAAAGCTGGACTCGGCTGGCTCGCGCGCCGCCATTACACATTCAGCGCAGCGGCGACGCCTCGCCCTGGAAAAAGCCATTTTGTGACTAATTCAGTCGGCGCACACGTTTGTTAAACGACATCAGATTATGACTAGCTCTTCATGTTCAAGCATTTTTAAAACAGTCGCTATGAATCAAAGGGGGCGACCCAGAACGCGCCCGTGGCGGAAGCGGAGACCCGCGCCCCGTTGGTTTGGAGGCAGACTCTGGTGCTGCATGCTGTAGCAGTCACTCATCATGATCCCTGGCTGTGTTTCCCCCTCTCAACGCAGACCGAAAGCAGATCCAGATCCGTGGTCAGCTGGTCCGTCTACAGGCAGCTGCCTGCCTATCGCCCAAAACGCTCCTTCCTCCTCCTGTAGTACCTCCCAGTATCCGCTCATCCGCCGACAATATACTCCAATTTCGAGCGACTTCACGAAACGCTCGCCTCGCAAGAGCGCGCCGAGTGCAGGAGAAGCCGTTTCAAGTCTTAGTTCTGTAGACAAAATGGAAGATTAGACGGATTGGCTGCTCTTGCTGGTGTCGACTGCAGAGTTATTTGAGATTTTGAAACCGTCACAAGCAATGGGCTCTGTCTCACGATGGAGCGTAAACGCTTAGGGGCGGTGTAATGAACATCAACCATTATGTGTCGGGCTGGATTTTAATTCCACTCTTCAGGCAGCAATTCCTGTTTTCGAGACATTAGCCTACAAAACACCTACACGGTACTCATTAAACTTTTAAGAAAGAAAAAAAAGGATTTTTCACAACATAAACACGAATATTCATTTTTGAAAAATATAATTGCTATTTTTATTTAAAACTATTGATAATAAACCAGAAACTGTCTTGCATCTTTTTTGGCGTTGTGTTCATACAAGAAAACTTTGGCAAGACATTTGCCAGTTCATTGTGAACTTCATGCATAATGACTTTGATCTTTACTTTAAAGATATTTTGTTTGGATTTTTCACTTTTGAGAAGCAATATGAAAATGTTTTCTTTCTTTGCAACCTGATTATTTTGCTTGCAAAATATCTTATTCACAAATGCAAGATTATGAAAGTTACCCCCTATTTTTCTCACTTTCTAGAACATTAAGATCTATATTAAATCCTTGTCTACCTCCTGTAACAAAAAGCCAACTAAAACTTTGAATGTATGCTCACTTTTTAGTGTTTTTGTATAATTTTTGTAAAAAAAAAAAAAAAATTTTTGTAGGAAAGATTGTTGTGTTTATTATGTGATCTGTTAATTATTTTCCATTTATTTACATATTTATACATTTTTAATGTAATTGTTTTTTTTTTGTCATTTTATTATTATTATTATTTCCTCTCTTCTTTCCTTGGCTTATGTTTTTTCACTTTTGTATTCCCCAAGCAAGTGTTCAATAATAATAAAAAAAACTATTGATAATAAACTATAGTGTTAAAGCCATCGAAGTATGAGTTTCAACCTCGTATTACCTCAACGTTTGTAATCCTCAACATAATTCATTTCATTTTCTCTAGAGTGATTCCAGACAATGAATGGAGAAATGGACTCCTCTGCTAAAGAACCCGGTAAGAAACATGAATCGTTTAGATCAGGGGTTCTCAATTGTTTATGAATATTATTATACATATTTTTTTTGCCATGAACGGTAATGGCTATAGCTTTAATAGGAAAATAGTAAAAGAGAATTTTGGTTTCTAAATGTCTGTTGAATTGATGGTTCAAACAGTAGAGCATTGCCAAGATCATTGGTTTGATTCCCAGGGAATGCATTGTCTGATAAAATGTATACCTTGCATTCAAAGTAAGTTGCTTTGAATAAGTATACTCATGACAATAACTGCCTTGCAAAACAAATTGCTCTCGGCATGAACCATGTTTCCCACTGCATGTGAACCTGTATTTGAACTTTGTGTGTAGTACAAATGTGTAAGCTTTTCTTGTTTGCATGAAGATGTGTTTACTGGTTCTCAGAGATTATTTTTGCCTTATGTTTTATTACAGTTTGGGTGCAGGATGACCTGTTGAAGCTGTTGGATGCCATAAAGGTGAACCTACCAGAAAAAGATCTGACCAAGTACAAGACGTCCGAGTCCCATTTGGACTGGGAGAAAGTGGCTTTCAACTCATACTCTGGGGAGATGTGCAAACAGAAATGGAAGGAAGTGTCACGTGAGGTACGCTAGTCAGTAACCAGTGGTTTTCAATTGTATGTTGTAATAATGACTAGAAAAACATGCATCAAAAATGTGTTAGTTGTTGATCAATAGATACTAGTATTTGAAAAAAACCTTTGTATGTGACAAGCTATAGGACAATGATTATGCAGTTGTCACATTAAAATTCCTGTTCCTCACTCAGATACGCAAATTCCGCACCCTTACTGAGCTGATCGTGGATGCGCAGGACTACGTCAAAAATCCATACAAAGGAAAGAAGCTGAAGGTAGACAATCTTAATGGCTCAGTGCTGAAAACTTGGAATAAGAATTGCAGTGTTTTCCCTGTGTCGGTTGCAATGGTAGCAAATACTAACTTTTGTGTATTTGTCCTCTCTGCAGAAGCACCCAGACTTCCCCAAAAAGCCGTTGACACCGTATTTCCGTTTCTTTATGGAGAAACGTGCCAAGTATGCTAAATTACATCCAGAGATGAGCAACCTAGATCTCACAAAAATCCTGTCCAAAAAATACAAGGAGCTCCCAGACCGTAAAAAAGTGAGTGCAATAAAATTAAAACGAAACATCACTAAATCATAGTCTGTACAATTTTTCAAGAACCACTATAAAAGAGGAATTGATGTGGATTTTTAGGCAAATGGGAAATTGAAATTATGGAGATACTGTAATGGTATATTAACTAAAGGTTTAGGATTCATCTGGTGTTTAGTGGATTTCAAATCTGTGGCTGCTCTTTAGTCCCGTTGAAAAGAAGCAAATATTTTCTGTTTGGTCTGGATCACCTATTGTTTTTGAGTTATACCTTTCTAGATCGGTCAACAAATCAGGCATTGTTTTGACTGACCTGTTTGTTATGACTGAACCTTTTGTCAACAGGAGAAATATGTGAAAGACTTTCTCAGAGAAAAGGAGACTTTCATGCTCAGCATGATGAAGTTCAAGTAAGAGACTTACTGACACTTTACCATCACATTTACATTTTTAAATCATGGCTTTTCTCAAAGAGTTTGTGTTTCTTAATAGGCAAGATCATCCCGACCTTCTTGAGAACGTTAACAAGAAGTCCAATGTTCCAGAGAAGCCCAAGACGCCCCAGCAACTGTGGTACTGCCATGAGAAGAAGGCCTTTCTCAAAGCACGTCCAGATGTGAGCTCTACACACACTCGCACTCATAAAGAATTTGAAGCTGGCTTCTTCATGCACTTGAAAAACACTTTTGTTTTTACCTCTCAAGGCGACTACCAAAGACATCAAGGACAGTCTTGGCAAGCAGTGGCCACAGCTCTCAGACAAGAAGAGGTTGAAGTGGATCACAAAGTCTTTGGAGCAGCAGAAATTGTATGAGGTAAAGACGTTTGCATGTTATATGGCATATTTGCCAGCAGTAGTGGGCTTCTTTGTAACGTTTGATCTTTCCCATCCTTGTTTAGGAAAAGATGCGCGAGTTTATCCAGCAGCACCCAGAGATGAACATGACGGAGGGGAACATCGTCAAATCCACTCTGACCAAAGCAGAGAGACAGCTCAAGGACAAGTTTGATGGGCGGCCAGACAAACCGCCTTCGTAAGTTTACCTGATAATAAGTTTTGTTTTCTTTATGGAAAATATGATTTCTTTTTTGGGGGGTGAAATATGGCCTGGAAATGTTCATGTTTGTTTTCTTTCTATCTTTCTTGTCAGTATTAGTTTAGTATAATTTATCTATTATAATATTTATTTATATATTTTTATATTTAAGCATTAGTATTATTTTTGTGCTTTAGTCATTTTTATTTGGTTTCTTTTTATTTTTAAATTTAGATTTAATTTATTTCAGTTTTAGTAATTTTTGCTTGTTTTATTCAATTTATTTCAATTGCCAAAAGTGATTTTTAATAGTTTTAGTAACGATAGCGCTGTTTTTTGTATGAGTTTCTGTACGGTAAGTTTAAAGTGACGTTTTTCATCATCTCTCATTTTGTCTTTCTTTCAGTAATGGTTATTCTATGTTCTGTGCTGAGCTGATGTCCAGTATGAAAGACGTTCCCAGTACAGAGCGTATGGTCATGTGCAGCCAGCGCTGGAAACTCCTCACACAGAGCGAGAAAGAAGCCTACCAAAAGCGCTGTGAGCAGGTTTGTAACACATTTATGCAGATTGCTTTTATTTTGCATGCTTCCTTCTGTTTGTAAACAGTTCAGCCACCCATTAATAATGCCATGGATACATATGAAAGTTTGTCTATCTCTTTCATAATTTATTTTATTTCTTCTCTACACAGAAAAAGAAAGAATATGAAGTTGAGATGAATCGCTACTTATTAGTAAGTATACCTTTTTGACAACAGGCACTCAGCTTTCTGTGTATTGTTTGCGCCATTTTCTGTTCGGTTTGCATTTTAAACATGTTGTCTGTGAATCCCAGAGTATCTCCGAGGAGGAACAGCACCGAATACTGTCAGAACAGAAGATGGGCAGCTTTAAAAAGGGAGGTGGAGGCAGTAGTCCCGCTTCCAAAAAGAAGAACTCAAAAGCAAAGGTCAGTTCACCTGTCAGTCATTTTTGAGTAACTTAAAGGATTGGTATTTAAATGAGCTTACAGTAACTACAAATTCACATCTTTATTTCCCTTCCATTCTTTCTTTTCTTCCCTCTTTGTTATCCCAACAGTCCAGTACAGAGAAGCCCAAGCCTCCTGTGTCTGCAATGTTTATTTTCTCTGAGGAGAAGCGTCCAAAACTTCAACAGGAAAGGTCTGATCTTTCTGACATGGAGCTCACCAGACTACTGGCCCGCATGTGGAACGAGCTTTCTGACAAGAAGAAGGTGATCATGACACTTTAGTGCCCCAGAGATGTTAAGATCCTTCCATTTATTTATTAGCCAACTAAATTGTTTTTTAACTTTAACATGTAATCTTTCTTGTAGGAGAAGTATAAAAACCTGGAGATGACGCTGAAGGCAGAGTCTGAAAAACAGAGCAAAGACGACAAAGGGAAACTACCAGAAACGCCCAAAACAGCTCAGGAAATCTGGCAACAAAGCGTCATTGGCGACTATCTTGCCCGATTCAAGGTATGGAATCAGAATTGCAAGTAATTCAGTGGATAATTTTCTTACATTACTGTACAAGAGTTTGGGTCAGTTTAATTTTTTATTCATGTTTGTGACTAGAAGTTTCTTGTTCTCATCAAGGCAGCATTTATTTGGTCACAAATACAATAAAAATAAAAAAACAGTCATATGAACCGCATTTATTTGAAATTTGTCAATTGTCTGTCACTGTTTTCAAAAACTGAATAGACAACATGAAGCAGTCATTAATAGCTGTTCAGATAAGTATACATCTTCCAGTTGACTCTTTTCTTTACACCAGTATATGCTGTTATACCAGCTAGTGGTTCAACGGATCACAAAACTCACAGTTCGGAACTTATTACGGTTTTTGAGTCACGGATCAGAACGTTTTTCGGATCAGCAAGAAAAGAAAATATTTAAATATAACTTTTCTTTCCATTTATTACTTAAAGCTAAGTACTTCTTCGATACCACAGCAAAAACTACTAGCCTAACTGAGAAAGATCAAACATGATTAAAGTCAAGTGAACAACCAGTAAAAAAATAAGAACAAATTACAAGCATAGGTAAATACATCAGAACGTTACAAATAAAATAAAGTCGGTAGTATTCAGGAATGTAACAGAAATGTAATAATTAAGAGTAAAATAAAAAGCTGTGTTTTGTTGTTTGATTAGCATTAATGACAGCAGCAGGCATTTATAGACTGCTGTCCCTTTAAAGGAGACATATTATGCCCCTTTTTACAATATGTAATATAAGTCTCTGTTGTCCCCAGAATGTGTCTGTGAAGTTTCAGCTCGAAATACTCCACAGCTCATTTATTATATCATTTTGAAAATGCCTATTTTGAGTGGAAGGCTAACCAAAACAAAGTTACTGGGTTAATCTTTTTCACTTTTCCTTGGTTGGTAGATGCACCGGGGGCCTGATTATAGCATTTAAAACCTGGAAAAGTCAGATTTTCATGATATGTCACCTTTAAGACCTGATGCATGGATCCAATATTATAAATGATACTCATCCGATTTGTTCAACCCCTACGACCAGCCCTATCTGATAATAATTTACTGTGTTTTCTCCACTGATCTCTCCCTCTTCTATGCTTTCTCAGAATGATCGAGGGAAAGCTCAAAAAGCCATGGAGGCCACCTGGAACACCATGGAGAAGAAAGAGAAGATCATGTGGATCAAGAAGGCTGCAGAGGACCAGAAGAGATATGAAGTGAGTCCAGACAAATCCAGACATTTTGTGGCATTAATGTCCGACTGCCTTTAGTAAAGTAGCTGATCATATGTCTACTGCCTGCGGGGGTTCTTGTGCAGAGAGAGCTGAGTGAGATGCGATCGCCTGCCCCAGTCATCATCCCTGGGAAGAAAATGAAATTTGATGGGGAACCTAAGAAACCACCCTCGTAAGTTTGTTCTTGTTTGTGTGTGTGTGTGTGTTTGTTTGTTTGTGTGTGTGTGTGTTTGTTGGTTTATCTACAATTATTACACCTCTACAAGGAAAAAGCTGTTGGTGTGTTTGAGGCAACTCGCTTGTCTTACCTTCCCACTCTTTCTGTTCATGCACTCTTCACCTGTGACTTCAGGAATGGTTATCAGAAGTTCTCTCAGGAGATGCTGTCAAACGGCGAGCTGAATCATCTGCCCATGAAAGAGCGCATGGGTGAAATCGGAGGCCGCTGGCAGCGGCTCCCTCAGAAAGAGAAGGACCGTTACAAAAGGCTGGCAGAAGAGAAACAGAGGCAGTACAAAGTGCTGCTTGAGAAGTGGCTTGCGGTATATATCTTTACTGTTATTTAATCTGTTCAACACTTGCGCAAATAGCTTATTCTAATATATTACAATAGTAATAAATACTTCTTTTTTTTTTTTTACTTCACAGAGTTTATCATCACAAGAGAAAGCTACATATAAAGAATATAATTCTCTGGTGAGTCATAAATTTGGGTCTACTCAGTATTGAAGTCTAATCAAAAGAGTACTCGGTGCTCTTGTCAAAATAGACTTGAATTATATACCATAAAGTTTTTTAAATGTTTCTCAAATCACATTTTTTATTTATTTTTTTAAATGGTGATGTTTAATAATTTAAAAACATTAAATAATTAAATATTTAATTTCAATATATTAGTTTTTTTTGTAACACTTTCTGCCTGCCGTTCTGCCTGTTTAATGTTTTTTCTTAAACTTTTCTGCAGAAACGGAGGAGCACATCAAAACCAGGTGCCACTGCTGCTAAAGTGAAACCCAAGGCCAAACAATCGGTGAGTTTGATCATACATAGTCTTAAATCATTTAGCGTTTATTAGCCTCTATGTACATTTTTAGCACAATGTACTGATTGATTGTTCTGTATCAATTGTGACCTTGTCCAAAGGATGAGGAAGAGGAGGATGATGATGACGATGATGATGATGATGAAGATGACGATGACGAAGAGAAGGAATCTGATGACGGATCATCCTCTGATGACAGTGATGATGACGACGATGACGAAGATGATGTATGATTTATAGCATGTTGTTCACATTTTTTCCACACATATTTTAAAACTTTCTTGCTGATGTAGGATCAGCCTTTGATTTTGCAATATTGATTTTGATTAGCAATACGGAGTGCAGCAGTCGGGTTCCAGAAAAGTCCTGTTCGTTTTCTCCATAGGGGATTTCATTTTTAATGACAACTGATAAACCTAATCAGACCTCGAATGAAATGAATGAAAAATAATCTTTCCGAATTCACTTCCAGAATGAAGACGTAGAAGATGAAGAGGTTGAGGATAAAGAGAATAAGTCAGAAAGCAGCAGCAGCGCTTCCAGCTCTGACGATTCCTCGGGTTCAGACTCCGATTGAGCCGGAGCCGAGTCAGGCTGAGCCCACAGACTGCCAGAAATGCTGTGAACTGAGCCATGAGCCGGGGGTCTGAGCCTGCTCTGCACTGCGCTCTTCTCACCACAGGAGGGGGCTCACCCCGCTGTCACACATCTGCGCCACCTCTCACACACTCTTTCCTTTGCTTCTCTTCTCTTCTATTCTCCCCTGCACTTCTGCTTTTATTTTTTCCCTCCCTCCCTCGATGAATCCGCTTGTCAGGTTTTAAGGCATTTTAGGCAACGTGTATGAGGATGTATAGTCTAAATTCCTCCCAACACCGAAAAGGGTGCAGTGCTCTGCTATTGGCTTGTAGTAGTCAATGAGGCGTTATTAGGACCTCCTGTGTTTATACGTTAAATGTTGGAGGACACAGAGAGCACCATGTTCCATTTTCTTTTCCGTAAATGAGCCAAAGAGTCTCTTAGTTTCACAGATTATTTCGGGAGGTACAGGGGACCAAATAACTGCACTCTGAAGAATGTTTGCTTTCTTTTCTTCTGTCTGTGCCTCTCCTGTTCTTCCTAGTAGCATTGTTCCTCTCCCTTTCCTGCTCCCTCCATTTTTGCTTTGGTGTTTGTTTTTGCTTCTTCGGTTCAAAACAAATGTGGTATTTTCAGGAACAATGAAGCCATTTTGAATGTGGCCGCATGGACCCCGTTGGTCTCGCACGCGGTTCTTGTTCACCAGGCATTTGTGCGCTGCCCTTACCTGCACCTGACGAGGGGTTAAAGGTGAAAATGGACTATTTATTTTTGTCCTGTTGTAGGAATGCTGCCTGTAGCTGTTTCGCCACAGCTGATGGGTTTGAGTTCACTGTTCATTCAGATAATAAAACCGACTGATGTTACATAATGAGGACTAGTTTATCAGTTAATTGTTTGGCAGCCCAAGCAAAGTTCTTGCAGAAGTATGCTCGTTTTGTTTTGTTTTTTGTGGATGGGGCACCAACATGTTTTTCTTCTGTTTGTTAATAATAGTTATGTATTTTTTGAAGCTGACTTTTTGTTCCTCTTTCCAACCACTGTTTTATTTGGTGCTCCAAAGAACTGTTTTTCTTTTGAAAATGATATGTTTTAAATATGATGGATGTGAGTTACCCCACAATTCAGTGCACTTATGATGGAATCGCTAGCTCACAAACCTAGTGTTTTTTCAGTATTCCTCTTTCTGCGTTTCACTCATTAGCCCATAATGTCTACCACTTCACAGGTCTTTCACGCACCAGCTCAAGGAATGTAATGGAGATGTTTTATTTAAGAGAGGGGTACCGTTATTTGTTATGTGTTTATGTATATATGAACCGTTTTGAGGGTGACTGGTATATTCTCTCATTCCAATGCCCTGGCCTGAAATGGCAACTAAATTTAGTTAAACCCACAACCCAGCTTCCTCCGCAGAGCTACCAACTTTTACTCCGTTTTTTAATGCAGTCCTCAACTTAATAGGGGCACTGTAAGTGATTTTTCCCTCTATCAAAACTTTGAACCTTGATCGTTTGCATGTAAAGACAAGCAAATAATTTGGGGGGGGGGATTGCTGTCAAAACAGATCTGGATGCTGTAATTTCTGTACCAGACATGTGACCTTTATTCTAGGCATCCAAATAATCAAGGTCTGTATCATGCAAAAATGTGTGTTCTTGGCTCAGTTTGAAAAATATAATTTGGTTATAGATGTTTTGAATGATGGGCCGGGATAAGAAACCCAGTGGACCTTTCAAGATTTGTTGATATTTTATAGGATTTTGAGACTTTCAAATAGATTTGGGTTTGGTTCAGTGCTGTTGTAAGGTATTTGTACATATAGCTTTCTTTTATTTTCCTTTGTAATGAGTGAACATTATTGCGTTTGTATTTTCAATTGGCTAAGCATTAAGCAATATGCTGCTGTAGCCAAAATGAGTTTGTTCGTCAATTGGGGACATGTTTTTAATTTGGTAAGTTTTAGTTTTTTACCCCTTCCCATGTTTGTTTGTTTATTTGTAGAAATGGCAAAAAAGAGAAAAAGCTTACATTTGTATTACAGGTTTGAAACATTTGGACGTTTTCTATAGCAAGAGATGTGATATCCCTGCGATTTACAATTTGAGCAAATAAATAAACCTTCTCTTAAACAGTTGTTGTGTTTGTCTTTGTGTTCTTATATATATATATATATATATATATGCTAATAATTTCATTTATTAGCATTTAAATACTTATATAATTGCTATGTTGATGTGACTGACTCGCCATATGTTTATCTGTGTGTGTGTGTGTATATATATGTATATCTCAGTGTGCGTATGTTTATATGTAAATATGAAATTGGAACGAATTCAAGGCAGCTCAATCGATGTGTCACCCAAGATCGGTAATAGACTAGTGATGTCTAACCGGAGCCAAAATGGCAGCGTTGTTGTGTTTTCCAACATCATCTGTACTCAAACGACTTATTCAACCAGGCATCTAATCATTTTTGTAACATAATATTTTCATTATTTTCATATGTACGTTCGTTTTGAGCATGTTTGTTCTATGTTGTCGTTAAACAAGAGAACAGCGGGTCCGTGAATGACAAGACCCGGCCCGTTCAGTCTTGGTAAGTAGAGATACAATTTAAACAAGAGCGTAACAAATATGCTTCTTTTTTTGCGCGCGGCGTCAGGTTGTACTTTGTAACACATATTTCTGCGGTTTTGAAACAGTGTTCCTGCACCCGCCCATATGGGAAGTTATATGACAGAGAAAACGGCAGTGTCACAGTCGTGCCTGTCAACTATGTTTACAATGACAGTGTGTACATGTGTGTTCAACAGTTTTATTAGGTTTAAATATACACTGGTTATTAATTACTGGAAATCGTTTATCTTATTTGATTGCTGTTTTGCTGAATAAGTGCTTTGCCCGCCCATTTTCACAGTGTTCCCGTTATATCGGCTAGCTGAACATGATAAATAATTTATTAATCTGACACGCATGTTATAAAATGGACCTTATAGCCTAGAAAATGGTTTTTAATTTTAAGAAAGAACATTTAGTTGATGACAAATAATTAACAACATGAACAAATGTGGCTGTAAATGACTGTTTAAAATGTTTTCTGATGTTCACTAATTATTTTGAAATGCTGAATCTCTTATTTAATTTATTCACTTTTTAATTAAAAAGGCATACTTTTATCTTTAGATAGTAGGATGACCATACTATGATATCCCATTTGACTATGATGTAATGTGCCTTTGTTTGTTTTCGTGTATTTCAGTGTTTACCACCCCTTTCTGCATTGTCGACAATGATAGCTCTCCTACAATAGTTGTTGCAAATGAAAATGGAGGATATGTCTCTGTCAGGCCTGGATAACACCAAGCTAGAGGTAAAGGTTTGCAGATAATGAGTTTAATTTATGAAACATACAGAAGAGAATATATCTGCTTTTGTTGTTCTTGTAAATGTTGTGTTCATATAAATGCATCTGTTTACGTAAGAATTGTTTTATGCAGGCTCACAAAGTAGCCTGTATCATAGACCAATAAGATACATGATTTCATATGATCAGTTTAACTCAAATGATTTAACTTCTCTCGCAAAACTTCTCCTTTGTTGTAGGCCTTGGCTCATGACGTATACTCTGACCTAGTGGAAGATGCCTGTTTAGGGTTGTGCTTTGAGGTGCACAGGGCGGTCAAACAGGGTTATTTCTTCCTGGATGAAACGGACCAAGAAAGTATAAAGGATTTTGGTGAGTCAGTCATAAAAAATAAACAAATGCATTATTTCTAAAGCCTGGGTTGCATGGTTTTAAAATGTGTCTGTGCTTCATGCTCCCTCTGATGTAGAAATAGTGGACCAGCCTGGTGTGGACATCTTTGGGCAGGTGTACAACCAGTGGAAGAATAAGGAGTGTGTGTGTCCCAACTGCAGCCGGAGTATTGCAGCCTCTCGCTTTGCTCCTCATCTGGAGAAGTGTCTCGGCATGGGCCGCAACAGCAGCCGAATAGCCAACCGCAGGTCAGTGGGCTGTGAGCTCTCACCATTTAGTTCACTGAAAATTAAATGAGTTTATCTTTTTCTCACTAAATACACTGACATTATTCGGTGAAGGGAATGCTTAAAGGAACACTCCACTATTTTTGAAAATAGGCTCATTTTCCAACTCCCCTAGAGTTAAACAGTTGAGTTTTACCGTTTTCGAATCCATTCAGCCGATCTCCGGGTCTGGCGGTAGCACTTTTAGCTGTAGCTTAGCATAGATCATTGAATCTGATTAGACCGTTAGCATCTCGCTCAAAAATGACCAAAGAGTTTCTATATTTTTCCTATTTAAAACTTGACTCTTCTGTAGTTACATCGTGTACTAAGACTGACGGAAAATGAAAAGTTGCGATTTTCTAGGCCGATATGGCTAGGAACTATGCTCTCGTTCCGGCGTAATAATCAAGGAATTTTGCTGCCGCACCATGGGTGCAGCAGGCGCAATGATATTACGCAGCGCCTGAAAATAGTCCCCAGCTAGGTAACTTCCAATAAGCCTATTTTCAGGCACTGCGTAATATCATTTTACGCCGTTTTAAATAGGAAAAATATAGAAACTCTTTGGTCATTTTTGAGCGAGATGCTAACGGTCTAATCAGATTCAATGATCTATGCTAAGCTGCAGCTAAAAGTGCTACCGCCAGACCCGGAGATCGGCTGAATGGATTCGAAAACGGTAAAACTCTAGGGGAGTTGGAAAATGAGCCTATTTTCAAAAATAGTGGAGTGTTCCTTTAAAGCAATATTTGACCAAAATTCTTAATTCATCCTAATGTCTGTATGCTTTTTTTGTTTTACTACAGTGTTTTTATTCTATTGCCATGTACTGGTGGGAAAATGTGAAAAATTAGGGGTGACACATTTCTAATGATTATTTTCCAAAGATAACACGTAGACTCTCTGCCAGATGGAGAGATTTTATTGATCCCTAAGGGAACATTTGAGTGGCACTCCAAAGCATTGATTGTTCTGCTGTTTCTACAGAATAGCCAGCAGCAACAACACAAGCAAGTCAGAAAGCGATCAGGAAGACAATGATGATGTCAATGACAATGATTGGTCCTATGGTTCAGAAAAGAAAGGTGAGCTCATCCAGTCTGTCTGTTCACCACTATTTGTCTCCAAATGTTGCACCATTTTTTGTTAATCTTATGAAGGCCTGATTTGAATAATTAATGATAACAGTTTATTAACCTCTTATTTTCACAGCCAAGAAAAGAAAGTCAGAAAAGGTATACAACTTTGATCAGATATTAACATGTTGAAAATGCAAGCCAAATGTTCTACATTATAATAAATTGAAAATAATATTTGAAATAAATCTGTGTGTTTTAGAATCCAAACTCTCCCAGGAGATCCAAATCCCTGAAGCACAAGAATGGTGGGTTTTCTTCTGACTGAATCTAGCTTTCAGGAGTTGTTTAAAGGTAGTGCACTGCATGGCAGACAGCAGGCTTCACTTGAACGTGTTGTGAGTCTTTTTGTGTCTTGTTGCACTGCAGGAGAGCTCAGCAGTAATGTAAATCCAGACCTGTACAAGGTGAGGTGATTAATTATTTTAATATTTAGAACATTGGTTCTTGCTTTCACTGTTGCATTTATTACTGTAGTGTTACAGCGATGTTGTTTCACTCTCTCTCTCATTCACTCATGCAGTATAACTACAGCTCTGGCATCAGTTATGAGACTTTGGGACCCGAGGAGCTGCGCTCCATACTGACTACGGTAAACAGCCTTATAGACTTACATAAATGATTATTATATTCTTACACAGAGAATATATAATTATATTAAGAATATATATTATTGAGAGTGTATTATATTCTTACATAATTATTATATATTTTTTATTATTAAATATTGTTTACCAAACAATTTATTTTTTATTTTTCCTTCTAAAAATAAATCTATAAAAAATAATGCTAATATAAATGCTAATAAAAATAAGAATAAATAAAGAATAATAAATTATCTAAGCAGATTAGGTCTACAAATAAAAGTCTCAATTAACAATTATATTAATATTTTTAATTACAGTGGAAATAAAATCTTAATTCATCCTCAAAAAATGCAATTCAAAACTGAATTTAATTCAAAATCATATCTTCTCTACTTATCCAAACTCTTGATGTTTTTTCTACCATATAGTGATGTTTCAGATTAAAATGGAGGTAAATTAAAATCTTTATTATACTTGGATATAGGAAAATATGTACCTTTTCAACTAAAATAATACTTGAATGTAGTGGAGTGTTAGAGTAAAGTTTTTTGTGTTTGACCACCCCAAATGACCTTATACGCATTCAGTGGTAAATTAATGTCAACTATTTCACTGTATTAGACCAAATAAAGGGGGCAACTAATATTTTGAACATTTGCAATTATTAGGATAAGTTTGACCATTAATAGAAGTGGTATTTCCCTCTTTTTTCAGTTACAAAATCTACCAAGATCAAATTTCAGATATTTTTTGTGAATCTTTTGTAAATGTGTGAAATAAGAGTTAATCATTTTAGTTTCATTTCAGCTGTTTTGCCATTAAATGGTATTATTGGCATTATACAATCTCTCAACCACTGGAGTTTACCTCTTGCTAACAGGTTCTCTCTTTCCTCAGCAATGTGGGGTCGTATCAGAGCACACAAAGAAGATGTGTACTCGGTAAGAATTCAGTCCATATTTGTGAACTAACAGGAAACCATAAAAATAAACATCTGTGATTTATTCTTACAAATGCACACTGTGGTACACTCAGGCCACTGACATTTAGAGATTCTTTCCATTACCTTATTGACTGTGAAAGTCACCACGTTTGTCATCTTTCTTTTGCCAGCAAAGAGTAAGTATTTTTCCACAGCATATTATGAGGAATACCAACTTACTGAAGGCCGAAACATCTGTGAAACCAGTCTAGGAGATTTAAGGTCTTTGCATATTGTGGCCAAACATCTTTTTTTTTTAACTCTATGTTAAGGCTGCTTATAACCCTGCATTAAGCAACATTTACATGTAGAAATGTTTGTAGATTTTGAACTGATCAATACTTATGAACATATTTGCATAACAAAAAGAAGAGTATACTGTTTTAATTGGTAATTGGTTAAAAAATTCACTAAGATGATATATTTGATCACATGAAGATGAATAAATGATTAAAATGCTAATTTTTGAGTGAACCGTTCCTCTAATGAAGCCTGTCATGTGATCAGAAGTACGATCAGGTACAGTCAAGGGGACATACAGTATCTCACAGAAGTGAGTACACCCCTCACATTTTTGTAAATATTTTATTATATCTTTTCATGTGACAACACTGAAGAAATGACACTTTGCTACAATGTAAAGTAGTGTGTACAGCTTGTATAACAGTGTAAATTTCACTGTTTGAGTGTCGAGGATGTGTATGTATTAGTGTGTGCTGCTGGTTTAGAGCCAGAGATTGATTGTGCATGTGATGTGTGAACACATGATCTTTTTCATTTATGTAAATGGAAATGATCATGTTATGTTGGGACTGATTTTACGGAACACAACTGGCAAATCCATATAAACCCCATATTTTTGATTGGTGTTCACTTTTCAGTTTTCTTTCCTGTGTCATTTAATTTGGCCTTGCTTCTGCTAAAAAAATTTAATTTAAATAATCTGTCTCCATTTCAATTGGACATAAAAGTGCACCATCATTTCCCAATTGGACGGTCATAGGTTGTTTCAAAGCACTGCCTGTTTTACGCAACAAGAGACTTCTTGAGCATCAGCCAGCATGGAAACCCCCTTCCATACATGTTAATATCTAACCCTAGAGCCCCTTTTCCAGTCCTTCTGGCAGTGTTCACCCAGTCTCTTGCCCGTCATTGTCTCTGGTGCAGTGCGTAATGCCACGTTGTGTCCTGGCAGGTCCCAGCGTTGTCCCCAGCACACGGACGAACAGAGGAGGGCAGTCAGGGTCTTCCTCCTTGGGCCGTCCGCGTGAGTTTCACCCCCTTCTCCCAACCCTGACCTCTCCTTATCAGAAAACAATCAATGTACCCACCCACTTTCCTCTCCTTTCATCTGTCTCTCTCTTAATATACCACTTTTTCATCAAGCTTGAGTTCATTTGTAGAAGCTGCCCAAACATAATGGTGAAAAACTAATAGGTCCTCGTATTGAGGCTTGAGGCACACCATCTGGAGTCAGTGTACATCTTAGTCTGCTGTGATTTTTCTTAAGTGTGACATGAAGGGTAACATTTTATAATGAGGTTTTATTTGTTAACATTAGTTAACTACATTAGTTAACAAACTAACAATAAACAATACATGCATTTATTAACCTTAGTTGTTGTAAATTTCATTAATTTTGAAAGAAAAAGTTGCATCTATTGTTAATGCATTTTTAAGTAAAGGCTAGAATTCACTACACAACTTCTTCCCAGATTTTTTCCCCCCAATTTGCAGTCTGGAAGAGCCAACATTAGTTGGAGCAAGCCAGAGTCAGTCTGCAGATATTGGGCAGTCAAAGCTGACAGATTTCACAGAAAATCACATAGTGTATTATGGGTGCAGACTTAGCTTTATACTATGATTCCATCTAGTCGGCAGATATCAAACGTGTGATATCTTAATAATTTTTGAAAACATTGTTTTTAATCGAAATGTGTTTCCTAGCAACAGGAAGCATGTTTCAATGTGAGTTTGTTGTGTTCTGAATGCCTTTAAACGTTAACAGGGGATGATGGGGATGATGCCCAGTTTTTCCTCTGTAACCATTTCAAATTCGGCAAATGTTTAGTGTTATAAAATTAAAAGTCGTATAATGTATTCCAACCCTAACATGAACGATGAACAACTGTATTTTTATTAACTTATGTTAACAAAAGTTAATAAATGCTGTAAAAATGTATTGCTCATTGTTAGTTCATGTTAGCTAATACATTATCTAATGTTAACAAATTAGACCTTATTTAATAACGTTCGGTTTAAATGATGACCTGTTCATGCTTTTCTTTTTTCATGAAAAAGCCCAATTTTTCTAGTCCTTTTCCTTTATTAACTGAGCATAATATTTCCATAAATTACACTAATATCTTATTTTTGTAGACCAATTTACATTTAAGGCACTTTGCAGATGCTGTTATCCAGAGCAAGTTAAAAAAAAGTTCTTTAGCTTCACAATTTTAATAATGCTTGTTGAAAATTCAATGTGCAGTTTTAACCTGTAAAATGAAGGGTGACAGAGGAAACTATGTCAGCTCATCAGCAAATGTCTCTTTGGTTTCAGATCTTTTGATTGTTTCTTTGAACTGGGGTTCTTGGTAAACATGTGCTTATTCAGCATTTGTCTCTGTGTAGTTATATCTTCCTTTCTGTTTGACAGGTCAACACTACCTGACTCTGATACAATGCTGGAAAATGATGGCTATGATGCCCCTGATGGCCAGCTCATCATGTCTCGCCTCCAGTGGGATGGTTCCTCTGATATCTCACCATCAGACTCAGCATCTTCAAAAGCCAGTGAGGTTTTCATGAAAGCTTTTAAAAATTGCACGCTCTGTCTGGTTTTTTTCACTTATTCGCAGTCTTGTTCTCAGGCACCAATAACTCAGAATCTAAGAGACCTAAGAAAAAGAAGAAGCCCAGCACGCTGACTCTGACTACCACTGGAAGTGGAGGAGAGCGGGACAAAGGGCAGGAACGAGAGAGAGGAGACCGAGATAGAGTAGTATGCGGCGGGAGCGGTAGCAGCAGCTCCCAGAATGCACTGGGCCTGTCCAGTCGGAAAAAGCGACCAAAACTGCCAGTTCCCCCAGCCCTTAGCATCTACGATGACCTGAACTAAGGAACATGCAACTTGCACACACTTACACACAGTTTATGATAATGACTGATTTGATGAGTCCTTATGTGATCCCTAGTTTCCACCATTTCAAGGTATATGAACGAGTTGAGACACTCTCTGTTGAATGTGTAAGAGAGGAAAGATCTGGGCACCATTTCAGACTTACGTTATCGGGGGCACAATAGAGTACATTTGTTATGGCAGTGTTGCACAGTGAAAAGTGAGTGTTCTTGTGATTAAATGTGGTTTTTGTAGGTGGATGCGAGTTGGAGCAAGAATTTTCTTTATTTTACTATGCAGTTCACGGTCATAGTGTTATTGCATACTCTTGTGTGTGTATACATGAGATTTGGGTTTACAGTGACACATGAAAATGTGGTATGCATGGGTGAATGCTGAACAGATTGCATGTATGTGAATGGGATGTTGCAAATATTTTGTTTCCTGGTGGCACATGTATACATTAGGTTAATCTGTGCAATGTCCTCTACTGGTTTTAAAGGGTGTCTTTCCTTCATATCATCTTGCTAATGTTACTGCAACCTGTTGTCTCTTCTCAGCTGCTTTCTGCAAGTGAAGCTACTACTCGTACTCTCTCTTGACAATGTCTAATTGCTAAATAATGGACTTACATAGTGCTACCGACAGCTTTCTGCCAAATCTGTGAATACACAATCTTTTGCCTTTTGTGTCTCTTTTGAAGTTAATATTCTTGTTTGTTGTCATGGCTAATATTTCTTGTCTGATACTCTTTATTTATTTAGTTTAGTGTCAATGTAATTTTTTTTTTTTAATAATCATGGCTTTTTGACTCCTTGATCTATAACGTATGCATTTTCTTGGATTACAAGGTTTAAATGGCTGAAGAGTTTGGTGAGCCTTAGAGCACTTTGTTAGATGTCCGCTTGTTTTGTATAAAATGTTTGGTTAAAAAAAAATCTGAAATGCAAATAGTAATTGTAGATGCACTTAAATGGATAAAATCCAGCCCGTATAGGCGCCTTATTGTATTTTCAGTGAATTTTTTTGTCATTGATCTGTCTTTGGTGAATTTGGTTTCTTGAAATTTAAATGATCTGAGAGTTTCACTGAGTGTGAACTGAAATGTCCGCATGCTGGAGAAAAACAACTTAGGATATACAATTGCTGTGGGTGGATGTTTCTTCTGTGATGCTCAGTTATTGCTCTGGCTCTCAATGGACTGTATTATCTCTGTAATAGTCTAAATAAATATTTCTCAGGATTGTTTGTTCTCACACATTCTTAATCCACTCTTAAAAGGACAGTTCACCCAAAAATGTCATGATTTACTCACCCTCATGTCGTTTCAAAAATGTATGACACTCTTTATCCTATGGGATATGCTTGTTTATAGTTTGAGAAATGTCTTTTTTCCATACAGTGGAAGTTAATATGCTCCAATATTGTTTGGTTTCCAACGTTCTTCAAAATATTTTTTTTGTGTGTGTGTGGCCCTTTAGGCTGGATCATGAACAGTGTTAATTGTGTGGATAAGAACAAAAAATTTCATTTCAAAGATGAGCAAATTTATTCTGAATTACTGCATCAAAGCAAAACCAAAAAGCATTTTAATCAAAGAGGTGCTAGTTGTCTGTAATAATGAGAATGAGAATAGGTAGACTAGATTTCCCATAAAACATATGCAGATATTGCTGACAATACTGAGAGAAATGACCCATTTATACAAGAACCATCCAACTGAGAGCTTTAAGTTTCTTCCATGCCCCTCTTGATTTATCTACAGTAAATACATTGCTTATATACAGATTTTACACAGGACAAAAAAAAATTTATTTGCTTTGTTATTGATGTCACATATGAAATGCCTATTAATGCAGTGAGTTTTCTACAGACTCTTCAGACTATAGCGGTCCAAATACTCCTGTATGCATGTAAACTCTTCATGTATAAAACTTTTATGTCCTAAATGATAGCTATGAGCTGTAACTAGCAGCAGACATGCTGAACCAGAATGTTATGTAGAAATAAGTATGAAATAAATACAGATTTCAGTGACACTGGCACAAGAAAAAAATCCTTCAATCACAAACATCTAAATTGAGTAAATTGATGTCTCAAAATATCTGCTAAATAGCATATCACATCTGTAGTTGTGTATTAACATTTAAACATGACTTTTTTTTTTTTGCTACTACAGAAGATAGTGGTGCTATTACCAGTGAAGAGACACATTAATTGATTAAAAAACCAATCAGTTGACAAATTGCGATTCCTCTAAATGAAAAGACCAGTCAGACATGGGATCCTGACTTCTCTTTACACAGAGAAGCTACACTTTAGGCTGAGATTGAACAATTATAAAGCTATTTTTTTCCCAAGAACTAAATTATACAGCAGTATTACTTTGTGCTGCTCACGAATGAAGCTGAAAGCACTAGCACACACTTCCGTCGTCTAAATGGCACCAGAACCCTCGAGGGCTCCCTGAGAACTTTCTTGGTTATTTTCAAGTCCTATCGTTTCGTTTCCTTCTTCCCTAATATTGGCATCATTCCTCTCTTCATCCATCTTCTCATCGACTGTGCATGCCGAAGATGAGGAAGCTGAAGAAGACTGTGACCCCAACCAAAGAGATGGTGGCTGGGGCAGTGAACAGCTGGCGGTAGTTGATTCGGAAGTACCAGACGACGGCGAGCAGCACCACGAACACGGGGATCACCAGGCTTCCTGTGCTGAGAGCCACACCGGCCGAGCGAAGCCCCCCGCTGAGCATGGAGCCCCTCCCGGCTCGAGGGTTCTCCTCTGCGGCCGCCTCACGCAGCGCCTGGGCTTGAGAGATGTGACAGTGGAGGACGCTGTTGTGGGTGATGTTCAGGGACAGGAGAGAGCGCTGAGGGTCCTGCAACAGCTGACCCTGGTAGATGAGCTTAATCTGATGTTCACGGCCAGAGAAGTACTTACTGAGAGATAGAGAGAGAGAAATCATTGACAAACAAAAGTGAGTTGCTTGTGCAATTAAGCAACACCAAATAAAGGAAGGATTTTAATGCATTTGCTTTTGGCCATTACATTTCTTAGTCTTGCAGTCTCACCCTGTCTTGTGACAAATGTTATTGCATTAAAGGTGACATATCATGAAAATCTGACTTTTCCAGGTTTTAAGTGCTATTCCACTCAAAATAGGCATTTTCAAATTGTTATAATAAATGATCTGTGGAGTATTTTGAGCTGAAACTTCACAGACACATTCTGGGGACACCAGAGACTTATATTACATATTGTAAAAAGGGGTATAATATGTCTCCTTTAAGATGTTAATGTTTTGATGTGGTTTAAACTTCAGTAGCAACATGTTGATACAGCTAACTCTCTATCAGAGTGACGTGGTCATGTGGATGGCAAAACATTGTGTGCGAAATGTAATACATAAAAAAGAAGTGTTAAACAAAATGTATAATATTTAAAATGTACAAATGTATAAACTACTGTTAAAAGGTATGGGATCAGTAAGATCAAAAGTGACAGTAAAGACATTTTAAATGTTACAAAAAATTCAAATAAATGCTATTATTTGAACTTTCTATTCAAAGAAGCTTGAAATAAATGTATCACAGTTTCCACAGAAACATTAAGCAGCAGAACTGTTTTAAACAATAAGAAGAAGAAGAAGAAATGTTTCTTGAGCAGCAAATCAGCATATCAGAATGTTTTCTGAAGGATCACGTGACACTGAAGACTGGAGAAATGATGCTGAAAATTCAGCTTTACCATCACAGGAATAAATTTAGCAGCAGACAAATTTAAAATATATTAAAATAGAAAACAGTTATTTAATTTTATTTATTATTTATAATTAAAGGTTAATATTTCAAAATATTAGTATTTTACTGTATTTCTCTATTCCTTGGTGAACATAAGAGACTTATTTGACTTTTATTGACTTATATGTATATATACATGCAATGTGATGTCACATTGTTTAGGCCCGCCCACAACCGCTGACTGACAGCCCTGCATTACAGTAGTTTCTGCCCTCAGCAAGTTGTGTTTGGTTGTACGCTGTCCTCCATTTTCTCAACGCTCGAGCAGCTGTGACGTCAACAATGTTCCGTAAGCAATGCCGGTGTTCTGTGTTTGGATGTAAGACTGAACATAAGAGTCTTCATTTTCAGGACGCAGTGGATTACTTTTATTTCTGAAGGTAATGCACCTCAAAATCATGTCATTATAGTGCATAGCTAATGTTTTAACCACATTTGTATGTGCGTGTTGTTTCGTTAAAGCACAGAGCGAACGTTATATAAGTATTTGTGTATAAATGTGTTGCTCATCCATGCAAATGGGCTGTGAAAACTCTATACATAAATGTATCAAAAAACCATTCCGAGACATCCTGGTTCATTCTCATATGTGTTTCTTCTGCTGGAGTCTCTCCTTCATCTGTGTCTGACTCCAGTTCATACATGTACGGCTGAACACCGGTTCTCTCGCTCTTAGTCATGTTGCTTCTACCAGCTGTTTATTGCTGTAGGTATGCAAAGCAGAGATATATACGCCATGCCCTGAAGACAGGGAGGGAATATGCAGCTCATTTGCATTTAGAGTGATACACACAAAAACAGCTATTTTTTTTAGACATGCCCCAAAAAAAGACATTTGCCACATGTTATAATAAATGATCTGTGGGGTATTTTGAGCTGGAACTTCACAGACACATTCACATAGACCAACCAAGACCAATATTACATCTTGTAAAAAGGGGCATAATAGGTGCCCTTTAAGTTCAATTCAGACTTTAAAGAAAGTCTTTTTCAATTTCTCCAATTCATACATAAGAGTTAACTTTATTTTTTCACTACTTCATGTGTGTGTTTGTCTCACCTCTTCAGCAGTCCAACGGTGTCCTGTGGTCTGAGTACTGCCAGCTCCTCCGTGTCATTCAGGAACTTCAGTCTCACCGTGATACTGGCGGCCTCATCCTCCGCCTCCTCTTCCATCCCTCCCTCTTTCCCCTCTTCCCTTTCCTCAGCCTGAACATAGCTCACTTTCTTCCTCCCACCCTGAATATCCAGCAGCTCCTCTCCAGGCACATCCTCTCGCCCATCTGGCCGGGCCTCGCCCTCTTCCTGTTTCTCCTCCTCTGTGGGCTCTTCGTCCAGCTGCTCGCTGGGCTCTGAGCTGGGTGGGGGGTTCGCGTAGCTGTCGTGACCCCCGAGGCCGATGAGGGAGGCGTGGGCGCCCACGGTGAGAATGGTACCCAGAATGTGATCTCCACGGTCGGCCACGTGGGTAGACAGCCAGGCAAGAACCACAGCCAGGAACAGGACAACCACGCTGCCCAAAGCCGTGGCCTCCTCCCCGAGCCCGTCAAGCACAGTTAGAGCACACACCGCCATCCCAGCCCCTCTCTACCTGCGCAGACAAGAAAAAGAAAGATCAAGTCAACATTAAATATGTTCACAACCGTTTTTACTTGCATCATGTGACAAATTACCAAGTGAAATAGGATATTTAACAAGACAATTTGTTAACATTATCCAATAGAATAAAGGAGGCTCAGTGATGCCACCCAAAAAAGAAGGTTGTTTCAGAGACAATTTTTGGATGAGACACATTTCTTTTTGTTACTTGGACAATTGTTACTTGTAATAAAACAAATGTTAACTGAAATATTTTTAAAATCTTAAACTTATAGACATTAAACAAAAACTAATAAAAATGACAACACCACAACAAAATTACTCAAACTTTAACTGGAATTAAAAAGAAAATGCAATATATAAAAATGAAAACTAATTCAAAATATCAATAAAAAATATTCACAGTATCTCAACAGTTCTATTGATATTACTTAAGTCTTTCATAATAAGACCAAAAAAGTGCATTAAGAAAGCAAATCGAACTTAACAGAAGTCATCTCAGTCTTAGTGACCTGCTTGAATATGGTATTTATGATAGGTAATTATTGTCATTAATTATGTTTAATAGTTATTGGACTTTAATTATGGGTTACACCATTAGAAAGCATTAACCGGGTAGATCAACTAGCAAAACATCAGTGTGTTGTATGGATCGTTAAGAGTGTAAAGACCCGTAACTCTGTTACCTAACATTAAGTGACACACTTCTTAGCTGCATTAGGCAATAAGCCAGATGACATTAAGTACTGAGTGACATGTACATTTCTTGCATTAAAACTATAATTCCCCTCTGTTAAGTTATATATTAGCTCATTAATAATACACTGTTACTAGACAGTTTGTACATTTAGAGGCTCGCTAGCGGTTTCCGCTAAAGCCGTGAAACCTTTAACAAACCTTCACCGTTGCACATTTAATGTCGCCGACAGGGCCTAGAATGAGCTACAATCGATATTAAAAACAAATTAGACGAAATACCGTACAGAAAAATGTATTTAATGAAAAAGTATCTGCTTTGTTTTGTCTGTCTGCAAGGGAAGGCAGCTAATCATGTAACTTAGCGGCAATGTAAGACGACCTTGATTCACAAGTTTTAACAGAACACATGTCCTTTAAACAGATATTACAGCACATTTACCTTCTTTTACTTCAGATCATTCTGGATCGACGATGTTTTAATCCCTACACCGGTTGAAAGACAAAACACTTGGCTTAGAAATAAATAAACACACGTACAATCTCACGCGCACGCGTACAGCTGACGCTCAGCCAGCGTAGGAAGGTCACGTGGTTTTCGAAAGTGACGGGGAAACGAACCTTTTCAAAAAAAGAAAATAAAAATATTAAACTGACAAAATGTATAAAACTGAACATCAATTAAACAAAATGTGGTTTGTAGTTATTGATAGATGTCTATAAATTATATAAAGCCTAGAAACGTATTTATATAAATAAAACTACGTTCAAGGGCAAAAATGGTTGTATCAGGCCCCTACACTTTGAATTTTTATTTCAAAATTATACCAGATAAATTGCTTAAAACTTTAGCTCTTTGTTTTGCAAATGCAACTTCTATTTTGCAAATGTGGTGGTTTACAAAAATCTGATTAATGTAGATCATCTACAATATAATATTGTAGCATCTTAATTTTCGAAATTTAAGAAATAAACTAGCAACTGTGAGAAATAAAGAAATTCGACTCACTCTAAACTGTAATAGAAGGGCTAATAATGTAAGAATAAATACAACTTTAGGCTGGCCACTATTGAACGATAGGACAATTATTTCTCTGCTTTGTTTTATTAGAGATATTTCAGTGTCTAGAGTTCCTAATGTCCTGTATTGTCAACTTTTGTATAGTATTGCTAGTCATAATTTTAACACCAGGCATGCATCAAATTTTTTATTATTTTTTTGCTTCCTGCTTCAAAAACTAATGCAAAGCAATGGACTGTAATGTATAGCGGAATGAAAATATGGAATGATTTGCCATCGGACATTAAATATTTTTTAATAAGCAAAAAGAGGTTTATAAAAATCTTTAAAGGAATATTTAATGGCACAATATACAGTAAATTGATGATTTTGATGTTTTGAATGAATTTTAGGGTTTGTATGTTTTATTGACTTGACTTTTATTGTTGTGGATTAATGTAGTTTTTTTTTTTTTAATTGTTGGACCCCAGGAAGAATAGCCACTACCTTGGTAGTGACTAACGGGGATCCAAATAAACAAATAAACACTGCAACAAGTCAAGTCACCTTTGTATAGTGCTTTATACAATACTGATTTTGTCAAAGCAGCTTTACAGTGGCAAACAGGAAAATAGTTTGTCAATAATGCAAGAGGACAATAACAAACAGTCATTTTTCATGTTAAAGTCAGTTCATTGATGATTCAGTGATGTCATCATCCAGATTTGTATATTTATATACATCATCATAGTAATACATACATAAAAAACAATACATTCAGTTAGTGCCAAGGAGGTGCCTGGGACAATCTCATTTTCATGTCTTTGTTTATTTCACATGCGAGAACCACCATTGGCACATATTAAAGCACTATCCAGCTATCAGTATCAATATTACATTTGCAGTGCCTTATGTCTGTCTGTTAGGCCACTGTGGTCCTCTTAGTTCAACGCCTCTGACAGTCAAAGTCCCCAGGGCACTGCCCCATTTGGCCCGGGGCCATAATCCATCCTACTTCTATTGTCAAGAGGCATCACAGATGATAAATATTGTGAAAAACAGTATTCAGTTCAGCCCATTGTTTCTAGTCAGCTATTTTTAGTTTGTCTAAAAATGGAGCTCAACGGAGCAGTCCTCATTATGCAGCAGTAGATAATCTTTTAAAGTGCTGGGGATGTTGAGTTGGACTATTGCGAAGTGACATAATGACCCCAGGTGGCGACGGAGCGCACAGCGGCAGAGGTGCTGAAGAGATCGCAGCTGCCCGCTCATCCGTCTCACCGCATCGAAGAAAGACTGATGCTCCTGAGAATACAACAAGCGTTTTTTTCATTAGGATGAGATATACGTTTCTGAATGAAAACGTAAATAGATCAACCATTGTTGATAGAAATGGCAGGGCTTATCCAACCAAAATGCTAAATCAAAGTAAACTTACTGTATAAAATACAACTAATAATACGATATATAGTATGTCAGCAATATCAAAAAAAAAAGTTTTGTGTCAAACATTTGTGTCTGCTTTTTATTTGTATTAGATTTTGATCCGTAAATGAAAACTAACTGAGAACTCATTATTCCTCCTGAGCTATGTTAGAGAAACCTTTGAGCATAACATTTTTGGAATGTGATATATTTTCAGACGGACCTTCAGTAGTTCCTCTGGTATGTCCTCTAACCACTCCTCACACGCTGGGATGACCGGATAGCAATTCAGCATTACCTCCAAAGTGGCAGGAGAGGGCAAGCAGTGTTTCAGCATCTGGGATGTTCACACACAGATACATAAAATAAGGATTCACACCAAAGTGTAGGTAGGACACATAGCAGTCTGCACTTACTCTAGGGGAGGGCGGCTGTGCTCCATAGTTGAGAAGAGATTGAGCCACAACCTCTGGCTGCTGGTCTGGGTAATCCTCTATTACCTGCCAAAATTACAGAGAGAAGAATTCAACCATTTGGAATAATTACGTTTTTTTTTTTTTATGTTTTTGAAAGAAGTCTCTTATGCTCACCAGTGCTGCATTTATTTGATCAAAAACACAGTAGAAACAAAAATATGAACTACATGAGTAAATTTTGAGAACAAACTTTGAGTTGGCTTGAGAAAGCCTATCCTGTAAGTTTGAAGCAGTTGTTAAAGTATGAAAGTTGATGTTGATAGCATGTTGCTAGCATGATTTAATACATTGCTTACATGATTTAACATGTTGTCAGCATGTTTTAGCATGATTAACATGTTGTTTGCATTTTTATAGGCTGATTACAATGTTGTTAGCATGATTAGCATGTTGTTAACATGTATCTAGCATGATTAGTATGTTGCTAACATGATTACCATGTTCATAGCATGATTTAGCATATTGCTAGCATGTTTCTAGCATGATTAGCATGTTGTTAACATGATTAGCATGTTGTTAGCATGTTACTAGCATGTTTTTTTAGTATGATTAAGTGTGTTATAAGCATGTTGTTAGCATGTTACTAGCATGTTTTTTTAGCATGATTAAGTGTGTTATAAGCATGTTGTTAGCATGTTTTCAAGAATGCAACCATTTGGAATAATTAAGCTTTTTTAATGTTTTTGAAAGAAGTCTCTTATGCTCACCAGTGGTGCATTTATTTGATCAAAAACACAGTAGAAACAAAAATATGAAATATTATTACGATTTAAAAGAATTTTCTATTTGAATACATTTCAAAATATAATTTATTCCTGTGATGGCAAAGCTGAATTTTCAGCAGCCATTACTTCAGTCTTCAGTGTCACACGATCCTTCAGAAATCATTCAGCAGAATTTAAAATTTTGACAATTTTTCAGTTTTGGGTTGAACTGTTTCAATAAAAAGTGATCTTTATATTTTGTGCTGTCTCTGTGAAAATCAACATCTAAAAATAAAAATAAAAATAGGATCTTGTAAAAGTCTTAACCCTATATACCATCATCATCCCACCTGTAACAGGCAGTCCATGGGTGTGTATCCAGCACAGTTAGCTACGTCTGCACGAGCCCCATGTTTCAGCAGCAGTTCAACTATGCGGTGGCAACAGTTTCCACAGGCGTTATGCAGGGCCGTATGCTTCTTCCTCCCAGCAGTCTGCGCATCAGCCCCAGCCGCTAGCAGCTTCTGGACAATACGCAGATACCGTCCTGCATCTGCAGGCCTCTCTGCCCCAGAGCAGGCTGCGTTCAAGGGCGTCTCGCCCTCTTGGCTCCGAGCTGTCACGTCCCCTCCATAGGACAGGAAGAGCTCCACGTGGTCCTCCAGCCCTCTCCTGCAGGCCACGTGAAGGGGGGTGAGACCTGAGTCTTGCTGGGCCACGTTCACCTGCGCACCACTGGTCACCAAGTGCTCAGCACACCTCAGGGCAGATAAGAGTGTGCTATTATTACTGAAGTAAAATATAATAAAAGGTCAATTTAATTCCAACATGGTTTGATGTTATGTACTGTAGTATTAATCACCTTTTGTTGTAAGGAAAAAAGCTCTGACCTCATGCCTAAGATTTCCTTTAGTGTTTCACAAATGAAAGACAATAATACAGGTCAGAATGACGTGAGGGTGAGTAAATTATGACATTTTTATTTTTTGGTTCAACTATATAGTTACGTTCAAAAGTTTAGGTTTGTGAGATTTTTAATGTTTTTGAAAAAAAGTCTCTTATGCTCACCAAGGCTACATGTATTTGATCAAAAATACAGTTAAACATTAATATTGTGAAATATATTTTAATATATTTAAAAATGAAATGTATTCCTGTGATGCAAAGCTGAATTTTCAGCATCATTACTCCAGTCTTCAGTGTCACATGATCCTTCAGAAATTATTCTAATATGCTGATTTGCTGCTCAAGAAACATTTATTATTAATGTAAACTAAGTTTAAACTTGTCACGGTCACTCGGGGAGGAAGGAACGAAGGAGCGAGGAGACGAGGAGTAATACAAATCAAAAGGGTTTAATGAGGGGTAACGCTCAGAACACAGGGAACACTGGAGACATTAAGCAGACAGAATGATATTTAACAGCAGACAGAAAACACTGGGAAACACAGGGTTTAAATGCACAGACACCAATGGGACACACCTGGGAGCAAATAAACTAATTAATCAAACACAGCTGGACACAAATGATAACCAATGACAGGACACAGGAAGAACCAAATAAGGGCAACAGGAACATACACGGGACAAAACTAGGTTTATCAATGTTTAAAACAGTTGTGCTGTTTAATGTGCTGGGGGGGTTTTTTCAGGATTTTTGGGTAAATAGAAAGTTCTAAAGAACAGCATTTATTTGAAATTGATTTTTTTTGTAACATTATAAACAGGATTTTATAATTAACTAAACTTAAACCTTAAAAAAACACACCTTTTGTTTCCTGAAATAAAATATACCTGAACTGAAATAAAATATATATAAAAAAAAAATTTCAGCTACTCGCCACGGCAACATTTTATTTTAACTTTATGTACTAAAATAACTAAAGCTGAAATAAAATTAACGTAATAATAAACAATATACTAGACATAGTTAAAAACTAGTAAGAATGACAAAAACACAAAACAAAATGACTGAACTTAACTAAAATTAAAATAATAACTGAAACTAAAATAACACTGATTATAAATGTCTTTACTGTCACTTTTGATCAATTTAATACATACTTGCTGAATAAAAGTATCTATCTAAAAAACTCACCCCTAACCTTCGAACAATTGTGTACTTTGAAAGATTTTGACTTTATTTGTGAGACATTTGGTCCATGTTCTATGCTTATTAAGTTTGTTTTATTCATTACATTTTACATTTTGTTCCCTCTTGTTCCCTCTGACCGTATGCAGGGCAGGCCTACTCACTGATATGTTTCTGCTGCATTGCAGAGGTGCAACGGGGCATTGCCGTCGACAGCAAGCAGGTCTGGATCGGCCCCGTGGTCTAGGAGCAGGCGCACACAGACGTGATGGCCTCCTGAACAGGCATCATGTAAAGCTGTACGGCCGCCTGGGTCTGCATCCACCTCTGCTTCCCTAAACAGCAGCTCCTCGACACAGCCAGAGTGCCCCCTGCTGGCAGCCAGACGCAGTGCAGACGTCTGCTTTACTTTTGAGACAAGAGTCCACATTCCTGCAAAAGAATGAGAAGAGAGAATTCACCCAAATACACCTGATTGCATATGTTCGTGTTTGTCATGGCTGTCTATAAGGGTCCTACCCATTTCCGGGGCCCACACCATCTCCTCATGTACTGTCTCCATCAGTGCATTCACCATGCCTGGATCTTTGAGGACGGCATACACTCTCTTCATATCTCCACACATAAAGATGTTATGGATGGCTGCGTCTCTGCACCGTATTTGTGGTGGTGGAGCACGTACTGTCTGGATTCTCTCGTTTCCGTGTCGGAGCCTGGGGGCGGCGGGTAGTGGACGCCTTGCCATAGTCCTCCTGTGTGCCAGTGCCCGCCTGGCGTCCTCCCAGTCCTGCAGCTCCTGCTCCAGCCTTAAGGAGCGTAGAGAGGCAGAAGTGAAGGCAAAAGTGTCCCGGGACATCCCAACAAGAGCTTTTGTGTTTAGAAGCGTCCTAGAGTAGTATGCCGAGAACAAAAAGTATTGGCACAGAAATTGTGGCCTTGTGCTGTAGGAGTGTTAGTAAAGCAGCATTGCTCAGCAGGCATAACCTTTTCCAATCAGCCATAGGAACACAGTTGAGTAAGTAAAACTCCTATGTATGGTACCTACCCAGCAAGTTTTGTTCCTGAGTTGAAGGAACAGACTAATAAATCACATTAATAACATGCAATAATAACACTGAAAACAGTGTATATGCTCTAAAGATAAGGTCTTCCTACCTTTAACGCTTTTCAAGTTCCTCCTGTTCAGGCAGTACTTCAATAATCAATGATAAACTTGCTTAAAACATTTGTTTGGTATGTATAATGGTCAATGCTCGAAATATTTGTTATTTCTGTTAATAAAACGACCGCGTCCCTTCAAGAACGAAGTTGCCTGTCACAAGATATTGTTGACCTGACACATGCTGGAGCTCTGGGTATTAATAGACTAGAATGTGAGCAAACATGTTCCTGCACTAACACGACATCGCCTGTAGGTGGCGCATCAAATTATTGTTTTGTCATATAATTTGTCCTGAGTAAAATTCAAAACAAAACATTACCTGCTGGGCCAGATAAATTTGGGGTGTCATGGTTCTTGAAAATTCAATACTCAATCACTGCTAACTATTTTATGCATTCACCAGAATAATACTTACTATTATACTGTATTAAATTTATTATAACTATAAAATTATTTGAATGCTGTTTTTGAGTTTGTTTTTTACAAAGCCTGTGGAAAACTTAAGATGAGTGCCTTGGCATGCTATTGCACTTTTGGTTTATAAGATTTTTATATTAATAAGGAACCATTGAACGTCTAAAAGTACGTTAGGTAGCATGAATAAAATCTTGTTCTTGGGATGTGCAAAACCCTAATTTTATTTTATTAGTTTATAAAAAAGACTTTGTTGTAGCTGACCCAGTTTCTTTTTTTATCTACCCATAAACGCTGTTTTTAATGACTGATGGTTTTTAAAGGGCAAACTAAGACGTGACATGGGACATAAATAATTTATAAACATAGATTAGATAAATAACAAAAAAAATAATACACTAAATAATAAATAACGAATACATTAGGTGCACGACTTTTACTCATGATTTCCCAGTTTGCATGCGGCTCAAGTCATAAATACTCGGTAAAGGCGCAATTTCTCATCTTCTGCGTCCTTACTTTCACTTTTATTTCTCATGTAAACGACGCCAGGCACTAAGTCAAAGAAATTACTCTTTAAGAAAAGGTAATCCTCTATTGTAAAGGAGAACAGAGCGACGAAGTGTTGATATCGATACATACAGGTGAAAAAAAATTACTTTACATAATCATCTTTAAAAACGACAGTGTAACTGAGTCTCTTCTCACGAGCTCTGTTGTTAGTTACACTTCCTGTGTGCTCGAGCTCCGTACTACACAAACGCTGGACAGGACAACGACTTTCATGTCCTTTTGTTTATCATAATGAGGAAGGTAGTGACTGACAAAACTGAAAGAAGATGTTTCGATATTTATCTGCTCAAATTTGCTTGTTTGGTGACGCACTAATGTACCGCCCTTATCCACTTTTGTTTACTTAGAATCAGTGTTAATAGGTGGGCAGCCCTGAAGGATGGCAGAGGAAGGCCGTGCGGTGTGCGTTCACGGTTTGCCAACAGACGTGGACCATGAACGGCTCCGGGACAAACTACTGATTCACTTCCTACGCCAGCGGAACGGAGGAGGAGAGGTCGTGTCAGTCACTATCATCGGTCGGACACCTCTGCGTGCCCTCATCACATTTGAGGAGAGCAGAGGTATTTGCATGGTTATGACTGATGACTGCTGTTAAACATCAGAGTAAATGGTGTAAATAGATGAATAAATGGATATTGATGAAATAGCTAGGGGAAATGTGGGAAATTGTGCCACTTTGCAACCTAAATTGTCCTCTGAAACACCAAAAAAACAAACAAACAAAAAAAAACACCAAAAAATAAATAAACGACTAATTATGTTTCAGGGGGGAAAAAAGCTTCTGTACCACAAGGCCATACATATATATATACACACACACACACACATATATATATATATGAAGAGTTCAGATGCAAAAGCCTCTAAGTGCCATCTGAAAATTTCTTCTAAAATTAGCATTTTTATCAGGCTGCTATGTTTATGTTCATTTATTTCACTTTAATGGCATAGAAAAGGACCTATACATTGCCATCCATGTGAAATTTCTGAACCTAAACATAGGAGCCTGATAAAAATGCTAATTTTTTTTAGAAACATTTTCAGATGGCACTTGGAGGCTTTTGCATCTGAACTCTTCATATATATATATATAATT